CCCCCCCCCCACCCACTTTTCCATTAACTTGTAGAATGGTGAATGGTATTTCTATACAAAATGTGAAAACTGAAAAGTAAATGAGGTGGGGGGGAGGGGGGGAGAGAGAGAGAGAGAAACAACCAGAACCTTTTTGCAAGATCTGCTCTCCTCGAAATTAGTCATACTTTTGATATAGCAAATCAGAAAGTCTTGCCAGTTGAAAACCTGACCTTGGGAAACTCAAGATCAAAAAAGACTGTCTTATATAACAGTTGTGTGAGCAGGTTAAGATCAACAGTGGTTATTTAATCAGTTCAAAGGAAGTAAAATAACATAAGGCCAGCCTCTCATGGTCTTGATCATAAACAAAGAAAAAAAACTCCCTTAAGTAAAGGAAGTGTTTCCTCAGAGTAATTGCTACTGAAAGACGCTTATCAGTATCTTGCTCACCTGAAACCATTCAAAACTAGTGTTGTGGCTTGATTGCTAAAAGGCGTGTGCAGAAATGCTGATAAGAAAAATGACTGGATTTTGTCAGGATTTGATAACAAGGATACATTCACATTTACTCAAAGACTAGAAGCATATACTTGAAAATATCTTGATTACTGAAGAATAACACTTTTTTGTATTATTTTTCCAGCAGCAGATATTTTGCGGTATCTTGTTTAACGAAAAATAACCCTATTCTTTTGTTGTTGTGATTGAAATACATGTTTGGTTTGACTCTGCATAGAAAAAACTTTTATTTGAATTTTGCAAAACATCAGAAAATATCACTTTCTAAATCTGGATGTATTCAATCATATATTGTCCCACGTAGTCCCTGAGCTCTTTTTGGATTCATTTAGAGTTTGGCAAATTGTGTTTATTAAGAATGAGTTTACATGAGTTTATTAAGAAGGCAGCACAGCTCTCAAAAGTACAGGCAACAAGAAGGAAAAATAATCCAATCAAGTTGGTTTGCCAATTTGAGCTGTATGTAAATCATTCTTGTAAGTTACAAAATAATAAGTAACACAGTTTTCCTTCTAGAGCATTTGTAGTGGCAATACACAAAATATTTTTTATCAGTTTTGATGCAATGTTACATTATGCTTTACAGCTTATAATCACCATTAATTTTTAATTATGCACTGCAGGTAACATAGATATCAAGAAAATGTGACTAGCAAAGGTCTTCAGGCCCATGGAAATTCAAAGTTACACCTTGCCAAAATGCACACAAGTACTGAAATGTGTTATTTTCATTTTCAGCACATATAACATAATACAAAATGATTAATGTACTTTTTAAATAATATACTAAAAATTGTTTAAGGTGGGAAAAATATCAATTAAACAATTTTAAATGTCCAATTTGTTCTAATCTGAGATTTTGAACATAATGAGGGATTGAATATGACAAACTGCACTGATTTATAAACAAAAAACAGCTTTATACACATCTCAGTAAATAGATGATTAGGATAAGACAATGAAACCACTCTTCAGGTTGGGGCCCAACTGAGCAATTAGCTTTGTTTTATATGGTAAACTTAGCGCACTGAGCTTGGTTTTCCTATGTTTGGTTGAGCCAAAAAAAAGGCTTGAACAGTAAATATGCATTTCCATCTATATATATATATATATATATATATATAAGTAACTGTCATTTGTCCACTCTTGGTGTTATGGGTTTTAGCATATTTGGTCTGGGGTTATGTGAGTTGTACAACAAATGGAAAACACAAGCTACTAATGCAGTTTTAGAGGAAAAAATGATTCACCATTAAATACTGAGCTTAAAGAATGATTTGTAAATAATTTATTCTTTGGCAAAATCAATCGACAAATTGCATTTGTTTTATTTTGATTATTGCAGCCCTAAAAGCAATGTGACAATAAAAGGCATTAGATTGTTTTGCCAGTCAAGTAGTCATTGTTGAAAATAATATGTCTAGAAGTTATAGTATTATAGTTATTAAGGATTGCCAATTCTGTGCAATTCATACATTTTAGAAAATATCAATTTCCTTTGCTTTCGCTTGATATTTTGCTTTCAATAACATGACAAATAGAACTTTTTGCATTATGTAAGTGTTATTTTGGCTATCCCGATTTAGAAAAAAAAGGATGTGTAAAATGTTTTAATCAGTCATATTATTTATGAATTATGTACTAAAATATTTTCTTTTATTTTGACTGCCAACGGCTATTGCTGGAATAATTCCAAAAAAGGCAAAAAGATATTTGATGGCAATATTTGTGCCAAGTCATTGATTAAGCTGGCTTAATATGATGTTTATTGCAGACAGTTATTACACAGCTCAGTGGGTTGTGAAGTGTCCAACATTGTGTGAGCAGAAACATATGGATTTTTCAGCTGACTAACTGGCAAGAGCTCGATTCTTTCACCAAATTACACAGAAATGTCACAATTCGGTATGTCAGGCATTTTATTATATCCCTTACAGTATTACCATGGAGTCTGTACAATTATTACCAGAATGCAATAGCAGTTGCCACCGTATCACAGTGACAGTCGCGTTGCTCCTTTTAAAGCATTTAACAGTACTAGCATAATTAACAACATGTTTATAATTACATTACTAATAGAGGAGAAGAACACATACCACCTTTATACATTAAATGGGTTCACTCATATGAGAGCATATTATTGTGATTGCTATTGCTTTAAAAATGCTTATTGACAAACATTCAGTTACCAGCACTTTTGAAGCTTCTTTCAAGTGATATTTCTAAACTTCACAAGGTGCTTAAGATAAGAAATCGTGCCTTGCTTTATGTATAAATATTTCTGCACTGCAAATGATGTAGGAGACTATGACAAGCAAATACTCACTTTTATAGTATCTCTAATAGTCATTTTTATCTAAAGATACCCCGTTATGCTACACAAAGAAGTCATTTCACATTAAACTGCCCTGTTGTTAAGTAGCATGGCCTTTTAGTGCATCTTTACCATCATACAAATCTCTCACAATACACAAACTGCATACTTTTTCAGCAAATCCTGTGCTAGAGGTTTTTATATTGGATTTTAAGTACAGTATATAGCCAACTTAATACCTTTTTTCATGTGAGAGTAGCTAAAGATGAGTACTTTTAAATAATATAACAATTTCAGATAATTGTGCAAATATGAATTTGAATTCTTCATGATCCTAGATAGGTGCTAACTTTTTAAATCTGTCACTGTAAGATAGCTGCTAACTTTTTAAAGATTGGATTAATATATAAGAAAGCATTGAGCCTGTACACTTACTATTTGCAATACCTTTATATAGCAAGGTATATACATATATATAGATGTATGTCTGTGCCTCTGTTTCAAACTCTTTATATATATATATATATATATATATATATATATATATATATATATATATATATATATATATTAATTTACCTGTACTTTTATCAGTAACTGTTGATTTATTGCACCAGGAATACAATGAAATAATTAAGATTAACTGTCCAATTAACTTACGTATGTGTTGGTGCTTGTTGAAATATTAATAGCAGCTATTTGTGAATATTACTTCAAGAACATGAAAATTTGATAAGTCTGTTGTCCCTGAAAAAGTACAGTCTTATTTCACCACATCAGTGAAGCTTAAGCAATCACCTTGTCTGTCACCTGTATACCTCAACAATATAGCAAGTAACAGAATTTCTCTATTTACACCATGTATGAAAACACATTGAGATGTTTTGATGAAAATATATACATATTCACTTCATTTTAACCTTGAAGTTTTTTTTCCTGTAGTAACCAGTTTGCCATTCGTACACACCTGTTGTCTGTACAGTGACATTGCACCAAAATCATTAGATGCCATTTTATGAGCAGTGATCATTATGGTTTTTCACCTTACTTGTCATATGAGTCCTCAAAAGCACCGATCCACATTGACATCAATTTGCTGTGACTAAGCCATTTACTCATATTGTTATCTTCTCATTGTTACTGTCTGTCAGCAAGTTACTGTCTGTGATCAAGATTTGATAATAAAGTTACCAACTATACCTTAACATGTCGATTGCCTTGTATATGAGGTATTCACATATGATGAGCTTCGTTACAGACAAGCATGACAAGTAAAACATTCTTTAAAATGTTCCTTGAAGCAAATGGTTGAATTTATGATACAACCAGTTTTGATTCTTGGTAATTGAAATTGTTTGGAATCGGATTCCATTTTTTAGCATATCCACAAATTTATGAACTGGAGATCTCTCTTTAAGTTTTTATTTACACAAACAGCAGTCAATCATGCCTACAGTTTCCTAGGTAGCTACACATAGCTCATGCCAGTGTTGTCTGTGGTGCTATGTCCATTCAGTGTTGCTCTTACCACCTTCAGCTTCAACCAGCCAGGCTTTCTGCGCTCTGGACACCAGGCAAAGAATATACTGATAAAGGTGTCCCTAAACTGTTTGCTCATTGTGCAGTAGAGAACAAAATTTATCGAGTTATTTAACAGTGCCACAGTGTCCATGATGTCTCCTAAAGGATTATACACGCTTTGAAAGAAATTCGGAATAATGCTGTTTAGAATTGTCATGATGCCTTGCGGTAGCTCTGTGATTAAGAACAGCATCACAACTAAAAGCAACATGGTTGTGGTACGATTGGTTTCTCGATGGCGTTCTGACTCGTCACGGCGCCCCTCTGACATTAACCTTGCTCTTCTTTGATTGGCCTTGTGTATGATGAGAATGAGCAAGACTGTTAGAATTGTCAGTACAAGGCATGGGATCAGTTTCACCAGGACTGCTTGCAGCCAGTAGTTTATTTCAGCAATTACATGGTACCTCTCGGCCAGTTCACTGTTGTCCACCCCATATATGAAAGAAGTCACATTAAGCATGGATGCATGTGGGTGGGTCTTATTACCAGAGGTGACCAGTAACTCCCTGGTGTCACAGAATCTTTTGACCCCATTCACCAAATAGTTTGGTAAACAAACAATTGCAGGAAGGATATATACCAGGGCCACAGTCGCCTGGGCGCGTTTCATGCTACAGAGACGGGGCCCATCCGAGGGATAGTGCATATACAGAAAACGGAATATTGCCAACACTATGGTTAACCATATTGCAACAGTGTGACACACTATTGTAAAACTGCTGTGGAATTGGAGGAACCTGATCCAGTGCATGTTGCGCGTTTTGAGAACATCCAGGATGGGATCTTTGAGGATGTAGAAGTGGACCGAGACTGGCAGATAGGAGAGCATGGTACCCAGGTCTGCCACTGCCAACCATGTGAGGATGAAATTAATAGAGGATCTCATGTTCTTGTGCTTTAGAGTAATAATGTTTGCAATATTTGCAATGATGCCAAATGTGCACACGACAGCACTTACATACCCATGGTACTGTGCATAGCTACGTGCAAAATCATGCAACATGGACTCCTGCTGTTCATAGACAAGTCCTTTTTCACACAGAGGCTGTGAGTAATTCGCATGGCCAATGACGATGGCATTTTCTGCTGTTTTGTTGTAGTCTTGAACACTGACATAAGTCCAGATATGAGGCCCTTCTGCCATGGTGACATCTAAAGATGGATGAGACATGGTTGAAACTCTAAAATTCTTCTGGCATGCTGGCACTCTGTCTTTTTCTTATATACCTCTGTTCACTTGTCAGTTATATGTTAAGGTTTCTTATAATGTAATCACAGCATGAAGAAACCTGTTTACTTGGCATATTTTTGATTATCCAATCAGAGTCCATAGAAGTCAATGGCTTAGTTGACTGGCGCTCCTCTTGATTGGACTATTGACTCCCAAAGATACCATATGTTTGGTGTTAGGCAACACAAGCCCCAATTAGACCGACTTCATTGTCAATATCCTGTGTTTTTAATGCACTTGTTATGATTAAGACCCACTGTTATGGCAAGATTCCCTGGTTTTGCTTGCCTTGTGTCAGAGCTGAGTGGGAATCCAGCCGTCTGCCTTGTCTGTACACCTGTAACGAGATGACATTTGGTAACAAGAAACAGTCAGATCAATGGAATGTATTTAAGTACACAGATTTTCCAACTGCCTTCTTAATTGGAGCTTTCATATGCAGTGTGGCATTCTTCTGTTGATTGGTTGGTCAAGAAAGCTAAACCATACTGAGTAAACATTTTTGAAGTGATTCTGGTAAATGTAATGTTGACGGTGGTTGCTGCTGATAATTGACCATATGCATCCTTCATGCATATGTGTCCTCTTTGGTTATCCAAATGTACATCACAGTTTTGAGTGCTCTACATCTATAAGATTTGAGATTTTGATCTATGAACTGACTTAGGCAACATCATTTTTGAATGTATTTTCAAGCTCACATTAGATTAATTTTTCAGACCTTGATTTGAATTATTCAAAATGTCAGAAATAATGAAGTAATTATTGTCAATGCTTTAATGTGCAAAATGCCTGTATGAATTTAGGCGTTTTTCCTATTGGGAACTATTGCTGGCGTTTTGAATTACACAGAAACTTGTAACTGATGACTTGCAATTATGCTTGCATTACACTTACCATTCAGATTTCCAGTTATAATCATGCATTAATTGTAAATGTGATCATTATGAAGCATGGAAATCTTATCTTTACCCATGGAAACAAATTTAATCCTTTTCAAGTATATTTGTAGAAAAATATTGTTGAAGCAATTTATGTTCAGAAAATGTAACAGTGTAACAGCTCTTTTTTAAGTTTCTTTTTATCTATGTATTTAGCTGACCACATATTTCCAACCCCCATAATTGTATATTTTTATACCCTGTTTTTGAATATTGGTTACTTATTATTATTATTATTATTATTATTATTATTATTATTATTATTATTATTATTGTCCTTACTTAAAAATTGTAAAATTTGGTTGAAATTCACACCAGGTGATTGCTCAGAAATAGATATTGATTGTGGAGCATTTTGTTTCATAGCCTGAGAGAAGACTTTTCTGTAAAGATTGCCTGTGATAATAGGATTAAGGTTTTCCACCGTTATAAGTCCTCAGCTCATCAAACATTCAGTTTAAATTGTATAATGTAGATAATGGGCAAACTAAAGTTTTTCTTTCTGAAGCAGCTGTTATTCTGTATCTAAAATGTCATTTCTGATTTTGCATTAAAATGGTCATTTATATTTTGAAAAAAGGATATTAGATGGATATAAGGGCATTGTTTAAAAAATTGTTTGCATGGATATTATGATTAATCTTAGCCAATAGGGTTTCTTTGTTTTGATAGGTAATATTGCAAAATACACAAGCACCATTATTCACTAGGTTTGCTGTCCTTTTCATTTCTCTTGAAGAGGTTTGCGGGAAATGAACAGTTATTGATGTTTTTGGGCTAGCTTTTGAAGGTATACTAGACAGGCCTAAATATGATTCATCCATTAAAGGTTGTGATATTTCTGTTGTAAAACATAATACTTCCGTTGTGGAATAAGATATTTCTATTGACGTCTCTTGTATAATTGTTACCCACAATTTGCCTTCCTTTAAGTTTTGACATTAGGACACCCTCATTGCAGTGGCTAAGAAGCAAATGTTAAATAGCATATAATATGGCAGTATTATGGCATATTCCATGGAAACTTGACGTCATTAGGTTTTCCTTTCTTTACAACGAGTGCATAACCCAAACATTAGCTTTGTTAATAAGACAATATCTTACATAATTTAGTGTTTACTCCAGAGATTGTTGTATTATTAACCTTTTCAATGGGATTAAGACCTCCCTATATCATTGAGTGTGTTTCATTTGACATTTTGCACTGGCAAGTACGGATTTTTTCCCTGATGACATAATGATAGATTAAGGGAGGAAATACCTTTCTTTTGCCAAAAATATTGATTTTTTTCGCACTACTTTGTCTATAGATATAATTATCTACCATCTGAGATAAAGAAATAAATGCTTTCTTAGTGAAAATGAGATTTTTCTTAATTTTTCTAAATAAATAGGAATATAAAGTTTTTTTCTCTCTCTCTCTTTTTTTTTTTTTTGTAAGCAGATAAATTCACTTGATATTTTACATATTTCATCGTGACTGACACAAAAGAAGCTTAGTTGCAATTTGTCAGTTCTTGCTATGCTGATTAGAGTTAAACCCTTTTCTAATGTGGGAAGGGATTGGAGCTGGTTTTAAACATAATTTGTGGACCAATTATGATTGGATATTGATATTTTTCATGATGATTATTTATGAATATTAGAAGAGCAGGATGGTATTTTAGTTTTTTTGTTAGCACTTTTATTTAAAAATAATGACCCTCAGTAGTCAGAAACCCACCAAAAAAGCCCAATTTCATGTTTTGCTGCACAGTGCCAAAAGAATTTTATTGATAGCTGCTATGGCAACTTACAAGCCTTGATATCAAAAATGACATTTTACTTTTAAAATGCTGTCATTATGTTATCTTTGAGATTGCGGGACAGTATTTTAGAAATAAAATCTATAAATAATATATGATCATATCTTTTTGAATCATTTGCACTGCACATGGTAACGGTAGTTTTGTGACTGCCTGTGAAATGACTTATACCCCCCCCTTTAATTCAGTAGTATAATTCATAAAAGCTAGTGTCTCTTTACGTGGATCGAAGTACACTTAGTTATCTTCTAGTCAATTTAGTGCCTTTTAGTTAATATGTATCTGAATGTATTTAAGATAATGTAATTTTCAAGATTATATTCCAGATTAACATTCATTCTCCATGTCAAGCAAATTAATTTATCGTAATACATTGATGCCAGGAACTCATATTAAGCTAGGACCCATCATGCTAGTTTGATAGGTCCTTGTATTGGGTAGGCAAAAAAAAGGGGATTCCTCTGAGTTTCTATCCTGATATCTGTGACAGACCTAATGATACCGGTGGTGTTACTGAGATCGACAGCAATTAGTTGCCAGTTGGGTTATGAGGGATAACCATGTATTTGAAATCAATCAACAGAGAATCTGTAGGTCTTCTTTCTCATGAGAGCTGCCGTGTTAAGAACACAGTCACTACTAGCTTGTGAAGAGGACATTGGCATTTTTATTAAGACAGAGTTATGAGATTAAAGGTTTGCCTGTATCGCAAATTTGATCTTCAGAATAAATTTTATCTTAGTATGTGTAGAACAGAATGGTAACTGTTTCAGAGTTTTTTTCAACTGCTTTTCATGACAAAAAATTGTGAGGACTTTTGCCATGAGCTTTTGGCCATGCATTGTGCCTTGCTCATATGACTCATGGAATGAATGATTTTATGGTGGAAATTGAAAAATTCTGCCCTTCGTCTGTCTAATGGTGAGGGTTGTACATGATCAGTAACTGGGACCTTCCCCCATGCAACTTTAAGGCCTCATAAACAAAATAGCTGTTCACGATCTCAAGCCTCAGGTTTGTGATCGTGAACACCAAATTAATAACTCAAAATGCCATTTTATGGTGCAGACGTAAAAATTGTGGAGATGAGCAACAGCGAATTAATCCAGTTACTATTCCATGCGATATGTTCTGTATGTGCTGAAGATTGTTAAGAGAACATATTGAAAATAGTTCAGGGTTGAGAAGAAGAAGCCATATGTAAAAGCAGGAGACATGGTTGAAAGCTTGTCAAATTGTTCACACTCTCTTATGTGATGCTTGCAACCACTATTTATGTTTGGACCATGAAATGTGGTTTGAGTTGTCAATTCTTAAATCATTGTCTCGAGTTCACATATGGCAATTATCTTTTGTGAGGCTTGTCCCTCATGAAATCACTGTTTCTACATCTGATGTGGATCATTATTCTTAGAAATAATGTAGAAAAAACTTTCTCAAGTTTTAAATGGTGGTCATCAGTTTTTATTCTTTGAAATAAATAATCACCACAATGAAATTTCCACAGAGCAGGCACTGTTGGATTCTGCATGGAATCAGAAATTCTCAGACGCTTTCTGAAAACCTGGATTCACAAATTTGTTTGTAAACTGTCATTTCTGCCGTAAATGAAAAAGGCACCTTCTAGATGGGATTCATATTTTCTGCAGATTTTCTTCACACACTACTTACATCAATTCTACTGACATTTCCCATCCTAAATTGCTTTTTCTCTTCACTATAGCTATAGTTCTTGGAATAATTCTTTAAAAAATTGATGGATATTTGGACTCTTTGTTTTCTTTATATCTCATGGGAAATATCCTCAGATAAAGAACACATACAAGTGGCCAGGATGTTATCATCACAGTGAGGGTAGGTCTTCTGTGGTGTTATCATGAAATACATGTCTGGCCCTTCCAGTTACTTTATTTCTGCATAATGTCTACTTTATATATAACCATATTCTTGCTCAGATATTGACAGATTTTGTTTTTCAAAGTTTGGCATTCTAGAAATGTGACCATTTGTACTTTAGTGAATTTTTTTTTATCCAATATGAGACTTCTATTTTTTTTTAACATTGTGATTTTTATGCTTAATTTTACTAAATACAAATACAAAAACATCTCATCAACTATGGCTTTGAAAAAGGGGTGAGTTTTGATCATATTTGTTTCCATTAAATTACACATTCTTTTATGAATATAAAATGATTCGGTAGATATAATTAAGAATGTTTCTCTCACCATCAGTATTAAAAACTGAAGAATTTTATTAGTTTCTGGAAGTTACATGTGAACTGAAACATCTGTTTCATATGTAATCTTGGCCAGTATGCCCAAAGCTTATTTGCAAACTCTAAATAGGTGTGAAAGCACCCACATATTGTTAATTTTTTCAATAAATCTTTAGAATACAAACATGTTTCATGCTTATTACATTACCGAGTACAAACTTTATCCAGTTAAATATTTATGATTAAGAATGGATCAGTTTTTAATGTATGTCTTACAGTCCAATTTATAAGACTGCACAGGACCAAGAATGACATGTAATGAAATGATGGTACTGTATGTTTTTGGCACACACTCTCATTAGTCTTTTTTTGA